AATTCTCAAATCCCTAAACTCTCAAACCCCAAATTGAAAAATCCCCAAATTCCTAAATTCCTAAACCCTCAAAGCCCTAAACTCTCAAATCCCCAAATCCTTAAATTCCTAAATACTCAAATCCCTAAACTCTCAAACCCCAAATTGAAAAATTCCCAAATCCCTAAATCCCTAAATTCTCAAATCCCTAAACTCTCAAACCCCAAATTGAAAAATCCCCAAATCCCTAAATTTCTAAATCCTCAAATCTCCAATTCTACGATTATTCAATTATTCTATTTCTTCACTTTCAGATCCTGAAGAAGGAGGACATCATTGAACTAATTTTTAAAATTAAATCAACATTTTAAATCCTTCAGTAGTTAAAATATATTTTACAAAGAAACAGCTATGCAAAGGTACATTTCGCATGAGATACTGATTTAAAAAGTACTTATAGAAAGGTAGTTTGAGGTTGCAGCGGTTTGGAGCGTTAATCTATTAAAATTCATGTCAGTAGCGAAGTGCATATATACCGAAAACGATTATCGTTTCCTAGCCAGGTCCACGAGCACGTTTTATACTGTGCAATAGGATCGCGTGATAATATGGAACTCTATTTCTCCAACGAAACCGTCGGTATGATCAATAATTAAAGGGAAAGAGCTTCTGGGCTAACACCGCCAGCACATTACCTTCGTCGTCCACGTTAACGCTACTGTTTCTACTTTTCCGCCATAGTTGTTACCGATATTTACAGCCACCATTCCGATCAATTCGATCGTGTACGAGAATAGTGAACTGGCAAATGTTCTTACCAGTGGCGATTTCCGCAAAACGTGCGACGTAAATCGACCCTAATAACAGAAACGAAATGCAAAAGTAACGTGGGGATACACGCGATACATTTTTGCAGTTGAGAGGTTCTTTGGTGAAAGAAATCGTCCACCATTTTGTTCTGCGCTTCGGAAAAGAAGATGGAAGACTGGTGCGGAAGAAATATATTTTATTTTTGACTTCATAGATTATTACTGATATTTGAATCAGTAGAACTTGTAAATTTTTAATTGAGGTTGTGAATTAACTATGAATGGAGAAATTATATTACAAATTTAAAATTATAATTTAAATTTAAATTTGAAATTAAGAAGTCTCGGTTCGTGGACCGAAAAAAGGCTAGCCATCTAGCGGTGAGAAGGGAGAACTAATGGAACTACAATTAGAATCCACTTTTTATATTTATTATCTTTTATGAGTTGCCAACACTTCCGAAACGTTTTAGAACTAATTAATTTTGATTTTAGATGATTTTAAATGCATATTATTGTCTATTTTGGCTTAAAAATGAATATTAATTAAGTTCGACTGAAAATGGTACAAGTGGCGCCATCTCTCCGGCGAACGGGGTGAATTACACACTTTTGAAACAGCAGTTTCATTAGTTCCCTATCGCCACCACTAGATGGCACCGCCTGCATAATTTTTCCTTTTAACCATCAGAGTCGTCGATTAGGAAGATTTCTGTTATAGAAAGCGTCGGTCAAGAAAAGTTCTGTTTGCACTTCTCAACAAATGATAAATATCAATTAAAACACACTCCAGAACTATACCTCTGGTACCATCTAGCCAGAAATTCAAAAAGTTCCCATCTATTAAATGACAGCAATAGCAAAACAAAAACACAGATATTATGACAATTCACAATTTGTATATCTTCTCCAAAAATGGGACATTATTGTACTATGCTGAGTGGAATAGGTTAAACAAATCTGGGATCACAAAAGAGGAGGTAATTGTATACACTCTGCCATCCCCTTAATTTTATAATACATTTCTAACCTCTCTAATATTTACCCTGTTAAAATAATTTATAGCCCATAAATCATACTAAATTCCTTCTTTTGTTACATAATTTCTATAACATTCATTTAACATTCCCCATAAATCTTACTCTAAATTGTATGAATTTTAGGAAGCGAAACTAATGTATGGAATGTTGTTCTCCATTAAATCATTTGTGAGTAAAATATCTCCGCTGGATCCAAAAGAAGGGTTTCTGTATTATAAAACTAGCAAGTATACGTTACATTATTTTGAAACTCCTTCGGGATTGAAATTTGTGTTGAACACTGATAACGCTACGCACAATGCGAGAGAGTTATTGCAACAGTTGTACAAAGAAGTAAGTCATCGTTGAGCATTGTATTTATTTTATTAATCAATGTTAAAATAAAAGTAGTTCCATTACATGGCAAAAATTTGTAAAGATGTAAATTTAATACAATTCTTATAAAATTATTTGATAAGTATTCTTAATTTTGTACAGTGGTTTTATAAAATGATTGTGCATAAAATTGTTCAAGTAATTTTGATTACAGGTTTACTTGGAGTATGTTGTAAAGAATCCTCTTTGCCAATTAAATGAACCTATACAAAGTGAACTGTTTAAATTAAAAGTTGATGAATTATTTAAGAAATCTCCTCTATTTTTAAGTAGATCAATATAACTTGCTATTATATCGAGATGTAATATATTTAAATACATGCATGATTTATAAAGTCGTTCAACCTTCTATTTTTAATTCCGTTATGCATTCGTCGTCAAATACTTACCAAATTATGCTTAAAAATTATTCTTAAAGTCTAAAGAAATATACAACTTATATTACATTCTGTTATATTTATGAATTTACATCCATTGTAAAATAAACAATAGTTTAAACGATACAATTTTGTTGTACAATAAACTGTGAAATTCATACAAAATGTACAGACACCAAAAATTTGGAAAAAACCGACATTGGACATTGTAAAAGTATTACATATTTCTTGTAAAGTCGTATACGTTATTTACGTCGTCAACATATTGAAATTGCACTGTTCTTTGTATCAACGAAATGTACCCTTTTGAAATTCATATATATTTAAATGATTAGTTAAAATAGATAAAAATATTGGTAAAAATGCCTATACTTAAAAATCTGACTATGTTAAATTTGCGTTTTTTTAAACCTTGTACCACATACTAATTATCCTAGGCACACTTTCAGAATATGCCTTACTTAGCTAAAACATTTATTATTGTTTATAATATAAAGTTTCTTTCTTTCGTTTTTTTTTTTATACACATATAAGCTTTTCATAAAATTTTTCTCGTTCGGACGTATGATATCAACTTCTCCAAATATATAACGAAGTCATTACTTACAAACAATAAACGTATATATTAAGATCATAATTTTACAAAATATTTACACGTATGTAAGTTTTGATGAACTTAATCCGAAAAGATGAAACGTAAAATTATTAACACCTTGTTTTTCCATAGCGAGTTTCGTCGTGACCTTCAGTGACTCGTGCGTAAAATTATGTGAATATACGGGCAAGAAAAATAAACGAAAGCTTTTGACATGCATAGTAAAAGCACCTGAAATTATTCTATGTAAATCACTGGGGATAAGAATAAATAAATATATTACCTAATTAAAGGTAGTGAACTATCGTACCTTCTCTTATAATAACGTTAAATTCATCTAAAACATTTTAACATTCATTATCAAGGCATGTTCGCTGCCTTTTAGCGACGTTTATCTACGTATATTTTTTTCCATACATCGAGGGACAACATTTAAAAAATTTGCTCATTTACAAAGATTCTTATGATGCTTTACATCTGGAAATATGATCGACGAATTGACAAGTGTATCATGCATAGAAAATGATAATAGTTATTTGATCTAAAATGCAACTTTATAAAGCGTTTATGAGGTTATGGTTATGTATGTAATTGTTTCACGATTACTCTAATTTTTATGGCGTGAAAATGTCAGCTATCCGCGGAACTTCACCTAATCGTAAAATTGAAAAATTCTAAACAAATTCAATACTTTACATTTGTAAACATTGCGTCTTATATACGAGAACGTAATTCCTGCGTACAACAATGTAAATCCTTGCCGAAACGAAGCATTGGCACAAAATCAAGATCTTTCGCGTTGAACTCATTGCGATCTTTTATAGCAAACTTGAGGCCCTTAAGTATATGTATATAAATATATACACGTATGAACATTACATATTTATACACACGTGTGTTTAAAACACATGAATATACATTCACTTCCATGTACTTCGCTGAACGAAGTACCTCCATTACATTCATAGTATGTTTATACACGGTGCATAAATACCAGTAAGTTCAGCGTTTTTCACGCCCATGGTGTACACTTAAATACATATATACACATATATGTAAATACGCATTTACATGTCTCGTATTTAAAGGACGCATGTATATTATTACATAAATACTCAGTCTTTTTTTATTTTCTTAAGAGCTTGAATCTTCATCTGCATTAATAGTACTGCATCCGTCATTAGAAGGTGTCATGAAACGAGCGTTATTATTTTGTGCTCCTGCTGGAAACGGCTCTTCTATTACCGACAGTCGTTTCTCGCGATCAGTGGATGCCGTAGAGCTATGGAAGAAGACGTTCCTCAAAGTGGCGACATTAACCCGTTCTCGTGAGACGTTATCCTCTGTCGATGAGTCAGCCTTTGAGTCACCATTACAATTTCTGTAAAAATAAATCACGTTCGCATACAAATATCGTTATCACTTCATTTTTTAACCCACTGCCTTATCATATACACAACGTACATGATAAATAATTAAATACTTGCAAGACAATAGGTTAGGTTAATTCAACTAAATCTTTTCATACTTCGCAGTCTTCTGAACTTCCGTTTCTGGTTCCGATTCCTTATTGCGCTTACGTCTTCCGGTGTTCCGGTTGTTCACTCCACACGTGCTGACAACCCCCTCCTGATCAGCCTCGATGAAACTAACGTGATCATCGAACCTGACGCGTTCAGAACCTCCGTCTTCTCCGCAGACAGTCCAATTACTTGAATCGCTGCACTGACGGTCTAAGGTCGGTTTGCGACGAGCTCTTTTTGCTAAACCAGGCGCCACCTCCTCGAGCGAGCTCAAAGATGTAGCTTGTCCAGCCGAATCCATGTGACCGCCAGCGACGGAATTTGTTGCCTGCTCTCCTTCCGTACTTCTTCCGCCACTGATTGAACTGCCATCCATCTAAACATCATCGTTCAATTTAGTCATTAAATGTGGCAATAAGTTAATAGATGTTTTGACAACCCATGAAGGTTGTATTACCTTGAAATTGAGAACAGAGCCTGCCAAAGCTCTCGTGGAAGCTGCGCCATCGTCCAAAGCAATAGACGCGTTTACAGACTTCTCTGATAAACTGGTCGCAGCAGACGCAGTTTCGCTGCACAAGCTAAATCGTTGGGTAGACGTCACGTCCGCTTGAACTTCCAACCTGATTAAAAATGTGATCTCTTAATAATCTCGTACACGGTATACAAAGTTTCCAGACTGCCGTAAAAAATCAAATTCCACAAATGACATTCCATTGTTCAATTTTCAACCTTTGTCTCGCTAACATTCTACACGCCCTTTTTGCATTATTTGATATGCTTTTGTACAGGCCGAAAAAATTTAATTGCGGTGTGTAGCTCCATTGTTAAAACCGTGACAATGTAACAGAGCAAACGATTTTTCAACGCCATTGAAAACTGCACCTAAGGCAACGAATAAATTGCAGGAAGTTCTGAAGGGTTGGTACTACTTCCACAGTATTGGTAGAGAGCCTTCAAAGAAATCAGTCTGGAAACTTTTTCAACATACTTATACTTCGGCTGGATTTATTATACTTTACCTCCTGCCTCCCGGAAGGACTATACTTCCCGCGATACTGGTACCAGCAAGGGCTACGTTACTGGCACTCTCACGATCATTCTCCCCACCCAGTTTCTCCAACTGACTTCCGCTACCCAACGAAAGCGAAGCCTCTCCTATCGAAGGATTACCGCCACGGTGACTCGCCACATCTATCGATGCTGCGTCTACAATACGGATTACGCTTTTAATTACATTTACAATATTATTCGACCTATGCACGCAAGGTTGGAGACACCAGTGGATAAAGCTGTCGTGTAACTTCTTTTTCTATACGAAGTATCATTATCTCCAATGAAAATGTAACATTGGTATACAAAAGTTTGAATAGAAGTAAATCAGCGTCGCTCCAGATGAACGTATGACGTGACACATTTATCCACTGGGGTTTTCATTTATGAATATGATACTGAACATTTGGAACACTATTCTACCTCCACCGTTGCGCGCACCCAATGAACCCATTAATTCGTTTTCGTCGTCGAAGTCAACTCGAACTTCCGTGCCATTTGTGGAGACACCACAGCCTCCATTTCGACAAAGGGAAACGGGGACCACGCCGTACACGTAGAACAGCAAAATGGGTACACCAATACCCACGGCTAATCCTGCTAATATCGGGGACACCAAGATCTGAAAACAATTACGAACAATTAGATTTATCTGTGTTTCGCTGGAAACATCGTTAAATAAATATCCGTTAACGAGCAACGAAAATTCGACGAAGGCATCACAATCAAACTTTCGACCTTAGTTGATCCATTGTTGTGTTAGCTCTATAGTGCAAGTTTCCGAGTGCTGCACGAATTACGATTGCGCATATTCTTTCGCGAAGTACCCGAGTAAAAAAGCTCGGTAATTAATGAAACGTTTCCGGACGGACATTGTAACACGCGCTTAATTTGTACACCCGCTAATACGGGGAAAGTGCAATTAACGAATCGAAGTGACAGAATATAGTTCGATTTTAATTGCAGGCACGCCTCGCGTTTGCTCCAGTTTCGCAAATGAGTATTAGGAATTTTCGTTCTTAATAATCGGGGGAAATCGAACTCTTTGTAACTGGTTTTTTAGGACAGGGACGAGATTTTTCAATTTTTTTATTTCGGGACGTTTGGATCTCAGAATTTGGGATTTTAGGACTTTGAGGATTTGATACTTTGCAGGTCTTACAAATTTTAGGTGCTTGAGGAAATTTTACGTCCTTGAGACTAGATTTTAGGACTTTGAAGAAATTTGAGACTTTGAAGTATTTTATAAAAAATTACAATTTTAAGTCCCTGAAGATTTAAAATCCTTGAAATCATCTGTATACTATTTTCATTTTTCAAATTTCGCTCTGTATATTTTCGAGTGTGAAGCCTCTTCTAAAGCAAACATTTTCCCATCTAACCCAGATGAAGGATCAAAGAACAAAAAAGTCAGAAAATAAACATTGAAAACTGTTGAAATTCCAGAATGAAAAAAGAATCTCTGGGATAATATGCACGGTCAACTAATTTTTCTATTATAACAACGAAGGTCGTAAAGGTAGTGCTCAAAGCGGAGGTCATCTCGATAAAATAAAAATACATGTGATCGGATGGTGTAACGTGTGACGACGATCCGATGTGGAGATTACTGACGCATGTCGATCTGTTTTCTAGATTTCCATCGAGCGTGGAAAGGAGTAGTGTGGGGCATCGGAACAGGAGGCAGAGAAAGTGCATGGTGAGCAGAAGGTGCGGGAGGTGAGGAAGGAAGGATATTGATCGACGGGTAGGAGTGCGCGCATGGGAGATCCTCTCTGTCCCACCCTGCGGCCTGCATCCACCTAGGTGGCTGACGATGGAACGTGCATCGTGTCAGTCGGTACTTTAACATCCACACTGCTCTACCAGGAGAAGTCCGGCGTGCCGAGATCCGGTGAAGTTTGGTGCTCTGCGCCAAGGGTGTGTCGTGTAGTGGCGAAACTCCGATGAGAGGACGCGGTACAACGCCGGCCCGAATATTCGAGGACCGGTCGGCGTAACAGGAAGAGGAAGGGCACGACGAATCCATTCATTGCTGGTGACTTCACCTCGACTACGTATGTGCGCTCGTACGTGGACGGTCGAATAGGCGCGTTTCTGCCCTGTTATCGTTCACGGGAGCGTACATGTGGCTTTATTGGCATTGATTGGGGGAGTGGACACGCACGACACACGTCACAAGCTCTTTTTCTCCTCTCCTATTTTCCCCCCTTTTGCGGCAACAACATCGCCAGAATCGAGTAAGGAACCATGGCGAACTGGGGGGACTGGGAAGACACCGACTGGGAGTGGGAAGACACCGAAGATTGCTCCTGCGAAGAGGAGCAGAAGCAAATTATCTCGGAGCCGGAGATTGACAAGGAGTGGCTAGGAGATATCCTACGGGAGTTTCACAAAGAACCGGTTAGTTGCAATAATAACGCTTTAATGAGTGTTTGTAGCTTGAGAAATTAACTGGTAATGCACGCAGGTGACGATAACCGAGTGTAACGTGAGCCCCGGATGTATGAGTAACGAAAGCGCGCTCAGCGCGATCATTCGGGTTAAAGTCAAGTACACGTTGGACGACACGAACTCTGCCCAAGATCTCTCCTTGATCGTGAAAGAACTGCCGAAGGATGCGTTCAGCCGTTTCTTCGTTATCGAGGGTCAGTTCGATCTGCGGGAGATTAAATTTTACACGCGGGTAAGCCATCGATTTAACGCTCGCCGGCTCTCCAAGGTAGAATAACGAGGTAACTCTGATTTTGTCTATTCGTCAGGTGATGCCCGACTTGAAGGAGTTCCAGAAGAAACAATTAGCGACTCAAGGGGATACGTCGAACGAGGAGATCGTACTGTCGGTTCCGGTGTGTTACCACGCGCATTATACACCGGCGGAAGACACCGACGACAGCCCCACCACGCCAGACTCGATTCTGGTGCTGCACGATCTCCGCGATTCCGCTTTCCGGAACGTTAAGTTCCGAGAAGGACTGACGTACGATCAAACCAAGGTCGCGTTAGATGCCATAGCGCGCATACACGCGCACTCTTTAGCGATGAAAGTCGTGGAGGAGCAGCATCTGTCCGAACGTTACCCATTCCTCTTCCAAACAGCGAAGGCGACGGATTCGTATCAACAACTGGTAGAGCGTGGCTTACCGCAGCTTGCTAAGTTCTTGAAAAGCACGCCGGGTCTGGAAGCGATATTAGAAGCTTTACTGGTCCTAAGACCTAAAACTAAACACATAATATCCGCGCTGTTAGCACCGGAGGGGCCGTTGGCGCTGATCACGCACACAGATTTCTGGTGCAATAATCTACTCTTCAAGGAAGGACCGAACGGTCTCGAATGCTGTATACTCGACTGGCAAATGGTCACCTACAGTAGACCGACCAACGATATCGCTTTGTTGTTAGTGAGCTCGTTGCCCACGGAATTGCGCCGAAAACACACGGATACCTTCCTCGACATCTACTGGAACGCGTTAACCAACACGTGTTCTCGCCTCGGCGTCGATATTCCAAAGGATCTGGGGTACACGAGGGAAGACTTGAACAAGGATTACAGGCGATCGCAACTACTCGCGCTTCTACTTTGCATCGGATCGGTAGACGTTGCTCTGGGAGATCCTGAAACTGAACAACGGCTGATCGACGTGTTAAAGGATCTTCACAATGAAGGTGTACTTACGGACGAGACTGTGATTGCCACCAGCGAAAATAACCCTTAGTCAACGTTATTACCGCCCATGATAGTGCTACAGCGAATTAATATTTCTACGCGAGATGCAAAACAAAGTTATGGGACTGATTGGTCGCTGTCAGCCATAAATTTGCGATCAACGTGATCTCATCTCGAGGAAAAGGCTTGTGTCGATAATGATGTAATTGCGGGTAGTTAAAGAAATCGAAGTCACATTGAGATTATCATTAAATTGACAGGAATAGAATTGATGGATAGATCGTTTTGTTTGGAAACATTTAAACGTTTTTGCCACATACGTACATACATACACATGCGCGCATACAAGTACACGTACATTTTAAAGTTTAAGTCGAACGAAATATTGTATGGAATTTTAAAATTAAACATGACTAAAATGCAAAAGAACTATTAATAGCACGTGCCGCCAAATAAATTATATCTTAAATCATACTGTTCGTCTGAACCAATTAAATATAACACTTAGATGGTTGAACTCTGTTTCTCTGACTACATTTCTTCCCGCAATTATTGTAACGGCTATAAGATCGACATTCCGTTATCGCTGATTTACGTATGCAATAATTATATTATTCTCTTTCTTTGTACAAACTATATAAATAAAATATACTTTGATGTTGTCATGAACTTGCAAAACCTGCTGATATTTGCGAACGTAAGTTTCTCCTTTCCATAAATAATATTCCGACTCTCCTTTGTTTCAATGTTTTAATATCGCATTCTGCAATGGTCAAGCTGACTCTATCTTTATCTAATTGTGTCACGCTATATAAAAAGCTATGATACAGCGATAAGACTAATAATATAGATTAAAACAAAAATTCTAGAAATATAAAAATGTTTCGACTTACGGATGCAGTTACTCCTCCTACAACGAAGGCATTCCTCTTGTGCTTGTTGGCTTTTTCGTACCTCGTGTACAGTTCTTTTCCCACCCACACTGGTATTCCTGGACAAAGCGTAAATTTCTTTTTATCAAAAGTATAATTAGAAGTAAGCATTTAATTGACTATTAAGAATACAAGGACAACTATTTGTGCTTTACAAACTAATACTATTTATGTTACAAATGTATGTTATTCTAATTTAATGTGTCTATTTATATTACTGTTTATGTTACGTATACAATACTATTTATGTTACGCCAATATTATTTATACTTTACAAACCTATAATCATAGCAGGTACAGCTATACCAGCAGCAAGGCCAATTCCAACAGGGGCTCCGACTAAAGTTCCAAGCTGCCACAGTATCTTCTTTTTTCTGGACCACGGCTTTTTACCCCAAAACGTGCAGCCAGAAGGGCTGTAAACATAAAGAACCATAAAATGAAAGATATGCAAACAGTGCAATTTCGTAGAAACATCCGATAGCAAAATAACAATACCTTAAGTAATGAAGATCAGTGATTTCTTTCATGCACAACCAGCAGAATTCAGCACCGCACACAGAACAATTCATGTGATTGCAACTACCGTCGTCCATTTTAACTATAAGAACCTGACAGCTCGGGCATGGTTTAATATCGTCTCCTGTAAAAACAATTTATGTGAAATGTGTGAAAGTGGTTCGGAAGTATTCGATGCGAGTAGATACATACTGTGCTGTGAATCGCTTTGACTAAAACTTAGAGAAGAACTACGTTCATAGTACTGAGTACGTTGTGCTCTAGCTGCATCGCATGTTTGATTAGGATGCCATCGTGCTTTACAGTGGTAACAGAAATAAAAATCACATCCTGGTCGCTCGCAACGTAATTTCGGACATGAAGCACAACCACTAGCAATAACTGCAAAACTACAATCTGGTGCAGGACACCATCTAGCATCAGGCTCTACGGCAAGAACTCTTCGTACCATAAAATCTTCATATTTTTCCAACTGCGTTTGATCGTTTAAAATCATTCGAATGTCTGCATGTAAACAGATTTCACACATAAATATAGAATCGATAGTAGAGATCGTATTTTCTATTCGAAAAACCTACCGTTCGGATGTAATGGCTCTGAACATTCAGGACATGCTATGTTAACTCTAGATTCTGAAATTTCAACCTTCAGATATTGTTGAAAACAGTCATAGCAACTACGATGATGACATGACTGAACCACAGGAAAAAATTCCACAGGTAGTTCAGCCAAGCATAAAGGACATTCCATTAAACCATTTTCATTGCTCTGAAATAACATACGATTTATTGTATTTAGTTATCAATTCATGAATTTAATATTTAAGTGGAATAATCTCTGAAGTTTCATCTTTTAGTTATGATATATACCTTTCCGGCAGAAGAAAGTACAGAGCCTTTACTGGAAGCACGTTGTAGATCTATGTTCTGAAACTGAAAATGGCTCGAACCGTTACTTACTCTGGCTTCTCCTTTCTCAACATCTATAATTCGACTGCCAGCTGGTTCTTTAGCTAAAAAAGAAATAATAAATGTTCAGAAAACAAGTAATTTTTATTTATATTCTTTATCTCGTTAGAATGTATGCATTACTTTTAGCATTCCTATTGCTGGAACTAGGTGTCCTCACAATTCGACGTCCAATAAGTGGACTTGAGTATAATAACCGACGTAAGGAAAATCTTGGTAATATTCTCCGTGGTCGAGGAGCTGTACCACTGCAGCCTCCTGAACTGCTATCATTTTCTTTGAACATTGTGAGTGGTATTATGGGTCACTACAGTTTCATTATTTTTCTCGCAAAATTAGGATGACTCAATCTGTGTTAAATAACAAAAACAAGATTAAATAAATAAATACTAAGAATATTAAAGTTGTATATAATTCATATCCAATCATTAAATGTATAAAGTAAAATTATAAACATTGGATCTGTTTTGAGCTCCTTTTCAGGTCTTCATTATAAATACTAAGTATATAAGTTATGGGATAATATAATAGAATAATTAATATAAATTAAAGTGTGTTGCTTTACAGTTTAATAATTGGATATTATACTGAAATTTAACATTCTTATTATGAATAATAAACCAATCAGCATTCAATTTTCATGTGCAATGGATGTATAAATAAATATATTTAAAATGTTTTATGTATCATTTTTGAGAACATAATTCTATGAATCGCAGTAAAAATATTTTATGTCATATATTTACTTTAGAGATCAAATCAAAGGTGCAATAACCTTGACTCAAGATGTGGACTTACTCTCATGTTTACATTACTATGTCAAAGAGGATTGAAAAACTTAGGATAGAAAACATGTCATCTGGTAAAAAAGTGAACTGAAAAAAAGTACTGACTCAGGAATTTAAATATTAATATTTCATGACTTATTATTGTGTACTGCTCGCGTATTAATAAGGTGTGTAAACCAACTATAGTGTTTGATAGTTTTAGAATTCTGTATTAAAATATAAATACTAAACGTACGGTTTACAGACGATTATATTTTACGTCATTGAGGCACGTGTAGTGTTACACGTATATAATTATATCGATCGTGTTAAATACAAAGTACAGGTTAATATAGCTGCAATATCTTGAACCGTGTGTTCACACGTAAATAATTTAATAATAATAGAAATTTTATAATACGACAATTAAATCGTTGTATTTCACCATATGAAATTTCGTAGCATATGCATATCACTTTTTCAACGCGTTACTTACGTTCACCAATTTATACGTTCTATAAAAATATCGATACTCTTTGGGTCAGATTCATATCATATTCAATTTTGTCTATATACGTACATTTTCTACTTTCACTAAAAAGGAATTATGCAGTCCATCAAGACAGTTGTCATCAATTACGATTTCTCCGCGTTCATGAGACGCATAAGTAATCGGTATTTCGAAATCTTTAATATGTAACATAAAACATATAAGCACAAGTGTAATACAAAACAATTTATACGCTTCTGCAATAATTGATGAAATAACATTTGAGTGCACGATTACATTTATTTTCTGAATGACTAGATCTAAATGCGTGAGTTATATCCGATTCGTAATAGTACTCAGAAGAATAACATGTTATTCAGAATAATACAAAACATTCTACGAATGCCTGTATCTAATTAAAATTTGGTAAACAAACTCACTATGAAATGCAGAAAAAGTTTTTTAATACAAATTTCGACATTAACATATATACTTCATATTCGATAATTCATTGAAAGTGCAAATGCCACAGTTTCAGTTCCACCAACGTGACGTTCACTCACAAAAAAAAGCGTAAAACTGGACGTTCTTTTTTCAAGGATACACTCAATGATAGTGATGAGAAACGTAAATTTAGTAAGGTATAGAAAATAATCGCCATTTGTAATGGACTTAAATATATACATATATATGTATATATATGTTGTGTATATATATATATATACATGCATTGCACAAAATATGTGTGCAATATATAGATTTTATTGCAATCGATTATGTTTTTACTTAAAATTCTTATAAAATTAGAATCTGTATATAATTGTATTAAAGTAACAAAATGAACGTTTCAATTGAATACTGAGAAACCTTACGTATAGATGACTAGCGTTAACATAGGTGTGTTAAAAGTCCATGAACAAACATCAAGGAAATAGTATCCGAATGATGCATAACGTACCTCCTTCCTATTAACCAATACTTTCAAACTTATTACACCTTCGATTACTAATAATAGTTTCACTATTATGGTCACTACTGGTACGTTGTATTACCGATAAGTTTCACTTATTTTGTTGGTTAAGGAAGTTCACTTGACACAACAGCTGACGGCTTCCGACTAAAGACTCATGATGACTATATATTAGATGAGTAACACAGTGATTCAAATGCAAAGGTGCATACAGCGCCCTCATACTGAAATCTCGGACCTATAAATCTGTGGTGAATATATTTAAAATATTGTAATATGACACCGTTCAAATTAAAATATAATTCGCTATAGAAATATATTAGTTATAATCTAATGGGTAAATATAATTAATAAAACTGAAAATCCTGTAAAAAATTATTATTTTTGTATCGCGTTTAATTGTTAAACATGGCTTACAAATATTAATTTATAGTATGCGTTTATAACAAAGTAAAAGATCATAATAACAAGCTTGGTAAATTTATTTTTAATTTTTGAACAATATGTACTTATAGTCTTTTATCCAGAGTGATTCTTATCTAATGTATATGGAAACAGACTGTTCAATTTTTATAAATTTCCTTTTACAAAAGTACAAATATATAAAATCTTAATAAATCAATGGCAGAATGTATTTGCTTTTGTATATATATTTTTAATTAAATGATTTTGAAAGACTGTAAATTTTAGAAAACATATAGTTGATATATCAAAATTTGAATCTGTGTGGAAATTATATTTATATGTTCCTTAAAATAGTTAAGTAGTTTTAAGAAAAATTGCTAAGACAAACATTAAATTGTAATGTAAGCGTCATCAATATTTTGGAAACCTTACAAAAGAAATTAAACTAAGTTGAACACTTTTAACGACATATAACATAAGGAAGTTGAGGATAAGGACAAAGGTAGTATTTTAAAACGACTGTTAAGATTAGAAAATGATTATCAATGTTTTGAAAAAATTGTGGTTCATCGTACTAATGACCGCTCTATGTACAGAAATGTTTTATTCTTAAATTATGCACAAATTGCAATCAATACAAATGTATCTGAAACAAGCAAGTTGGGGGATATCTCAGTTTTTTGGCTGCCATATGAATATTCAGATAAAATGGCAGCTATTTTGTTAGGTGTCAATGTGTTGCATCAACCGCCATGCGTTTTTGCAAAATCCATAAGACACGTCCGATTAGTTGTTGTCATATCCGGAAGAAGAGGCAACTGTTTTAAATTGACAGATAATTTTTCATATTCACTGATAATCAATTTAAAACAGCTAGCCGTATCTATTTTATAGCTTAGTATAGTAAAGCTAGTTTATTTTTTCAGACATCCACATTTCGACTAAGTAGTATTATAGTAATAAAGGTATGCGCTAAGTCTGCACTTCAGCTAGATATCATAAAACATGTATCATTCCTTCTCTGGCACATCATACATTGGTATTACTAAGTATACGTTTACTTTCTTTTTAAATCATGCGAAACAATGCAAAAACGAACGTCATATCAAATTCTAAAGTTTGATATAGTATGCTTAGACTGTAATAAAAAAAAAAAAGACTAAATTACGTGAAAAGTGAACCCGGAAATAAAAACCGACGTCTTGTGCACATCCATTTGTGTTCTTTCACAATCAAATAAGTCATTTTAGCATTCATTATGGTATTATTAATCAACACTCAGCATTGAAACATAAAAATCTAGTGTCATTAAATAACTCTACTAATAATCGTAAACCAAAAAAAAAAAAAAAAAACTCAATCTTGTGAAGTAAATAGAAGGAACATCATTGGGAACGCCTTTTAACCAAGATTTCATGCAGCTGCCGCCTACCATTGTTATATCTAACAATGGAAATCCACTTTTTTGTCTTGCATCACATTACGCTTCATCCTAGTTCTGTCGCGAAATAAATATATCAAATATATTCACTTGGCTTTCTTTCATTTTCTTTCTAACATCGATATAAAAATAACACAAAACACGTACTCTTTTTGCAACGTATATCAATATCGTAAAATCGTAACAAACGCGTCAACAATTTCTTGCTGCAAACACTGCATTATTAAAAAAAATAAAAATTAACATTGAATTGATTACATTTTGTATCTCCGTACGTATTGTGTTATTTTTCCATGAACGTAGCGACATATCTAGGAGAAAGATGTTCGAATTGATAATTGACGTACGAGCCACGAATATCCAGCCTATTATTGGATCATTTCACGAATGATTAAGAAGTACTTTACAGTACATCCGAATTACTGTCACACAAGTTGGGAGCTCGGTATAAAAATGAGGCACAGTTTCACAATCAGGGGATTCTTTTTTCTTTTTACCAGATGCTTCTACTATCTCCCAATGAATGTATCCATATATCAAACATGATAGCATAATTACTATCATTAAACTAAACCATGCATGGATATTAATATGTGTCCTTAAATGTGTTTAAGGAGAATGACGATTTCTTAAACAACTGTCGTATTCTTATCGGTAGCAAACAGTCTTAACAACGAGCGTAGACTAAATCATGTCGCGTTCCATAATCGTGTAGTCCTTGCGTAGGTATGCGTCATGTTATGTGCCGGGTGTTAATAGCTCTCATCAGGTGTAGTGTTATATGTAAGTAGCAGCTGTCGACCATACAGGTTATTTAGCCACTGGTACCATTAACCAGAGCTTCCTTAGGCTTATTGCTCTGTTGCATACGAGGATGACGAGGCCGTGGTTCTCTTTGGCCTTTAGGCCCTTGGGAACTGTTGTTAGTAGTAGAAACGTCATTTGCTGGTGTTCCTTCTTTACTAGTTACAGTTGATTGGTCGCCTGGGCCGGCATTACTGCCTAAACCAAAGCACAGATTAACTTTAAGCATTTCTACATGAATCTTTCTTCAGGAATTACTTATATAACCTTCGCACGGCGGACTGCGTGGAGTTATAATCAAATTTGTACTATAAGTTTAGTTGTACGTGTGGTAGATTGACACTGAGTCCGTCGTTCGTAGGTTATGTTCATATAATAAATTTTAGCAAAACCGATCGTCCCAAAGAGCTATAGCTGCTTTGTGTAGTTACCTTTTTGATTATTCGTTGGTGTAACGCTACGTTGTCGAGAACGCCGAAGCCGTCTTCGCCTTATACCTTTAGGTCCTCCTTCCACACTTGATACCGACTCTATGCATATACAAACCATTGTGACCATCTTTTCATATAATATAATAAAGCATGACTGGCAGTTAAAATGATAACGAGTTTAAAGCTACACTGCATTCGTTAGTAACGTGCATTAGTAGTTGTCATTGATATTGTTAGTGTTAGATGGTCACAAGTGTTTGCTTCACAATCCATGCGAACTTCAAAAGCACTTCAGTTTACTATTCTATCGTCTTTAGGACAGAACGGTAGTGCTGTTATGAAGTATTATTTACAAAAAATATGTTACTACCTCTATCGATGCTTGAAACATCTTGGCTGTCGAGAACTGTGTCTTCGTCATCGGTTGTTCGACGACGTTCGTCTCTACGATCTCTACGTTGAGTTGGAGGACGACCTTGTCTACCACCCATATACCCTGAATTGCCTGCACCTTGATGGCCACCTCTTGGCGGTAGATCTCTTACTCGATCTTCACTTCCGTCTAAGGTGTCTCGGCGTAACCCTGTAAAATAAAGGAAATCTATAACGAATACGAAATTAAAAGAAATATAACACCATTGAACACAAAACAGCTTAATGCAAAACAAACGTAACGATGAAAGATTAGTATCCTTACTTGCAGTTGATGATGGTCAATGTAGCATCTAACACGCTAGTAATGATGCTTCCCGTTATAACAATTAAGGGTATTAATTAGGAGTGAACAGGCATCTTTGGAAATAAGTTCAGTAGCGTTTTAATTTCTTCATCTAACGTTAAATATTTATATTTGTACAAATTTGTGTGAATCAAAATAAAAGATGTGTAACACCAAAAAATACGCAATGCAATCATTACGACTTAATATTTTATAAATTAATTAATCAGATTAATATGAAATACTTTACAAGACAAATTTTATTACAAAACGTATATAAGTACAATTTTAATAAAAATAATAACATAATTATTTCTTATTTATCAACTTGCAAACAACCTGCATTGTGAAAACAATACTTAATTTTGTTAGTGTTTAAAAGGAAATTAATTCTAATTACATTCAATGTGTTATTTAGTAAGATGGAAACGAGAAGTTCAAACTTGTTATACAAGTTATGTATTATAAATTTATCATGAAATGTTTGTTATTTTGTAAAAAATAATTATTCTTAAGATATAGGAGGTGATTCGACAATTCGCACACAAAATAAAATTATATATTTAGTTTTTAAATAATCAGTAAATCAGATGTATCACACACCATAAATTATTTAGCTACTACATGCATTTCCATTGAACACGTACATGCAAATGCATATGGTTGCGGTTATCTTCTATAACGTTATAATTCCATATTTTACGTAATAACGTTTTACAAATGCGAATTGTTAACGTATCTATAGATATTAGGACGACATCAAGTAATTATGACAAAACACAATGAATTACGAGTAACGATGTACAGATAAAAAACTAAATAGCTGAAACGGTTTGCTAACAAGTATAGTTTCAAATTTATATATTCCAACAATGAAAATATACTAACAACTATAAAGAAATATTGACGATAGCCAAATTTGACTTCAACAGATTAAATTACTGTTTTCAACATAACCAATACTCATGAATAAATTATAATAATAAAAAATAATATGTACTTTATTTGTATACTTTTCGGTCAATATATTCTTGTTCGTATTAATACATTTACAAATGTTGAAACTTTCAGTTTTTGGAAATCATAAAGAAACTTGTGAATATATTATTTGAAGAGTATTTGAAAAAATGAATTACAGTAAAAACTCGTTTATCCGAACCCATATTGTTAACATTCCTGATTTATTTAATACAACCGATTAAAAGAAAATACCTTATTGAAAATATTAATTAAATTTAAAGAAAAACTTTAAAGTGATATTTCTCGCTGTAGAGTTACACATATATTTTATTTCATCACTTAACTGTTAGGTGTAAAAAAGTATTTAAATACATACAATTTCTCTACAGGTTACTAAAAGTATACAATTTATTGTATAACAAAGATCGAATAAATGGTATATTATAGTAAGTTACATATTCTACAAAAGGGATTGCATTTCATTTAAGCGTTTCATATATTAGAAAGATGATAATCGGAGTATCAGATAATCCAGATCAAACGTCGCTTAATCAAATCCGAATAAATGAGTTTCTACTATAAACCTTGTATTATAATAATAATCCTAGCCCTGATTTAACTTCAACAATTTATCAAATGTTACTTTGCGACAAGACGCCCTCTGTCTTTAAAATCTCTGGGTTCTCTACTGTCTCTGGTGTTGGGTCCACCGCTTCTGCCATTACGTTTTTGTGTGTTCTCTACATTGTTGATATAGTCAGTAATAGTATTACCGGCATTGTGTCTGGTGGAAGGCCTACCCCTGCCACGTCCACGAGATTGACCACCACGGCCTCCACGACCTCCACCACCTTCCTCTGGGCCGGTAATCATTCCTCGTCTTGTTGGAGGAAAATTGGGCATTGGTCCTGTTGTTGAACCGTGCATGCTTCTTAGTTGTTGGTCAATTTCTAATTTTTCTTGCCGTAACTGTTCTACTTCCTTTAAAAGAAATAATAACAAACAATAAATAAAACTTATTCGGACTATAAAATATAACCACACGTGTTCTTTCGGTTTTATTATAGTTACCTTTAGGTGTGCCAAATGGTACTCTAGTAACATTTTGGCACTAGCAATACTTTCAACAGTACCAACAAACACAAAGGGCACCTGACCCTCTTCTCTAGGGATTGTTGGTTGAGGTTCGTTGTCTCCTTCTATTTTTACTCGCACCTGAAATTTAAAATTACATATCATGTTTATTTAATTGTCACTTATTCAATGTAGTAACTACTTTTAATTAGAATCTTTCTAATTATTAGTCATGAACCTACTCAAATAATAGAAGCAAGAATAATATGATACTTACCACACCACTTTTATCAACTATTTCTTGTATTACACGACCATTCTTTCCAATTACTTTGCCTACCAGAACACGCGGTACTTGTATAGATTCTTCACTATATTCGAGCATAGATCGAGCCTTTTTAACAGCTTCGTGTGTCTGTAATTGAAAAATCATGTATTATTTGGTATTTTAAGAGTGGTTGATTAAAAATAGTTTAATTACGATTATTTCACCTCTCCATATATTTTGAAGGTGCACGAATTTTCTTCTAATTCTATATTCGTAATTCCATCAACTTTCCTAGCTTGCTGAATATTTGCGCCATGAGCACCAATTGCTAAACCCATCAAGTCTTCCCGAACATTAAATTCATCTGTGTATCTAAAAAAATATTGTTCTTTCTTAATTTTTTATCTTTTGATAAACGTAAGATTCACTTTTCTGCTGAAATAATGCAAGATTTACAATATATATGTATAAATTATTTTGATATATAACAATGAAGTATTATAGTTTTGTTATTTATATTGACTATTCGCCTAATGTTAACTGCTAATACTAAAACATATTATACCAAAAACATAAGTTTTGATTATTTATGAACACTTTTTATGTATCCTAATAATACAAAACATGAAATTTCGTATTTTTATTAACATAAAATTTGGATTTTTCTCAGTAACATGCAATATCACTTTGAATTACAGTATGATTGTAAAGAATGTAACGTATATCAATAAAATTTAAATTCTTGTCAGTGGCTTGCATTTTGGCAGATGAAAATAAGAGAAAAATGTCATATTATGTAACATGAAATGCACATAACACATATTACAAATTACAATAAAGAAATTACACATTGCAAACAAATTTGTAAGCTTAGTTTGAGATGGAGGACATTTGTTTTAATTCATGTTTGATTAACCTCGTTAACAAATTTCATATTAAACGAAAATTAAAATTTGATGAAATTTTAATGTGCAATACATATTTCAATTTGTAATTACATACAGTACACACTTATGCACACTTACACAAGCTATTGCTGCCGATATATCAAGTTTGATACACTAACAAATAAATATCAAAAGTATACATACAATTTATATTAAAAAATAAGCTTATGTCGTACGTATTACAGAAGAAACATTTAAGACTTAATATAGTTAAAGGAAAATGAAATTATAAATGTATAAAACATGCAAATATATTGCTATTAAAACAGAACAATTATTATATCATGATCTTGATTGTTAAACTAAAATAAGCTAATGAAATTTTTTCCCTTTCCAATAATTAATATATTCGTATATATTTTATTTAACCCCCCCCAAATTACACTAGTAAAAGCAATTGGAAAGTATGTGACGATAAATTTCTAATACCTATAATGATAGCTACAAAATATTGCAGTATAAAATGATAATAAAAATGATTCTGAATTTATATACTAAAAAAAAAAAGAATGGATAAAATTAATTTTAATATAACCAGAAACACACTTGTTGCATTTCGTTCTAAGTATAATATTCTATTATAATTATTGATTAAATAGGGTATAAATACTTCAGATGTTTTTACAAAGGTATACAAACAAAAATAAGCAATATCAAAAAATTAAGAATATCATAATAACCTAAAGAAAATTACATATTATTTAAATTTGCAGATAATTACAATGTATTACATTTTCAATAAATCTTGTTGAAACTTTGTAAATAAACTATGTACATTTAAGACATGTGAGATAGAGCCACCAGTTATTTAATGTTTTTATGCAAGGCACTTAATATATCAGTGTTTCTCAAACATTGGCAGGCTGGAATATAATAATTTTTTATATGGAATAAATAAATAAACTTAAAACTCTACTCAAACACATCAATGTATGAAAAAAAAGAGAAGAAAAAAAAAGGAAGAAACTGATCACAGCTACACGTTTATGTTTGTTCACTATTTTATCAATCATTTAAAATTGTACTACAAAACACATAATAAACGGAAAAGAATAAATAAATTTTGTATGTCAGTGTATTTAAAGCATTTGAGTTTCAGTGAATAATCTACATAACGCCGAAGCATGCACATTTATAGTGTAGTTTCGTTTCTGATTTGGGAAATGCAGCTGTGTAATTTGTCATACAATAAGCTAAACTTAAGTCTAAACCACGCTGCTGTGATCTCACCTTGAATTTGTTTTCACTCCTGCCTCAAAGTCTGAGACACGCTGATATATAAAGTTTGAAGATCTAAATTTGCTGAAATGAGAAAGAAACTCTGGTGTAACTCAGTGGAAATTCATGTACAAGATAACCCTATCCCGTGTCCCTGCCATTCTGTCTGTTTGCTCCTTGCAAATAAATTTATAAGCCTTCATTTTAAATCCACTTCCCAAAGTATTTGTGTGAAATAAATAATTTATAGTAATTCTTTTACCCATAAAATAAATATTAAATTATTATTTAGTGTGTTGTAAAAAGTAATTGCTGTAACATTGCATGTTCCATAATATATGTATTATTGTAATTTGTTTAATCTAAAAATAAAACATAATGCTCTATAGTCAATTTCGCCTCTTTCTATGTTAATTGTTTCATTGTAAACATACCTGTACGAAAATGAATTAGTGTCCAGCATTATCATTAGAAAATTTATCCCCAATTTCTACTGAACTACTAAAATTTGATAAACATTATTATCTACATAATAAAAATTATACAAACCCGTTATTTGAACGTTTGGAAAAGTGTGTAATGTTAATCTAAAAATATGCTTATATTAAAAAAAAAATAGTTATCGAGTTCAAAAAAACAATATGGTAACTTTAAACAGATTTTAAATCTAAGCAATTGCATGTATAAGTAGCTGAAACAAAATGACATTGTTTATTGCAGAAACACGTAAAGCATCTAAAACTACAAAGATATATGTGAATTTTTATGATTATTAATGTACAAGCATTTTGCTTAATAAATTGTATTTTGAACGAGTTCAAGTAATCATGTAAAGAATAATCAAAAATTTTTTTAGAAGAATAATTTATTTTAATGAAGATTCATAAAATGTACTGAAATATGCAAATACATGCATGTTGAATCTATATGAGAATTGAATTATTAATAGAAGCCATTTATTATAGCCAGTTACCTATAAATAGATAATTATATTTATTGTAAAATTGACTCCAGTAAAATACTGTTTAAACTTTTCTATTTCTAGCGAGTACAGCAATTTCTGTACTTTAGAGAAACTTAATATATTATCACTTATATATAGATGTTATTATAATTAAAAAACTGAAAAGAAAATTAATAAAAAACAATAAATAAAGTTAGTTTCAATTTTAATACGAAAAAGGTATGTTATTAGTGAGTATAATTCATCGTTTTATTTATAGCTGATGACCGCGATCAGCGAATAATAGAAATTGTAGCATATTTCTATATAATGAATATTATAAGTAAACAAAAGAATATGTCAATAAAAAGTGACATTCACTAAAGACAGATGAAAGAATACAATATGTGCAGATGTATTACTATATGCACATCGTGCTCTTGTGATTGGCAAAAGTATGAGAAGATGATATCTGACACACAAAATTGTGTATGTATTTTAAAACTGCTATATGTAAAATTGATTAAATATTGTATATACAATCACAACTGTAACATGTGGAAATGAAAACATTTGTAGTGTGACTACATGACATTCATGAAAATTATATGATGTTGAAGCAAACATATTAATTACTGATTGGAAATCTTGTGAATTTTTTCTGCCAGTAAATGCAAACCACAGACAGGATGGTAACCAGGACAGTATATGGATAGGGGCAGGTATTAAGTATCACAAGATTTTTTGTTAATTGCAACACCAAATCTAATAGTTTACTTACCCCCCGATTGTTTGAAGTTTAGTGGATTCTAGTTGACGCGCTGCTTCTTCTGTTCTTTTTAAAAGCAACACCTGTAACATACATAAAATATTGTACAATATATAATAGTATATAAGCTGAAAATGTGTACGTTTCGACCGGCGAGAAATGTTTGATAATTGTACGTTAATGTACTACATTAAAGGAAAAGCGGAACTTAATTAGAATTAATTTTATGACCCCACCTTTTGCGATAAGTTTCTAAAGTGCATTTCTTGGAGCATGCTACTGTGACGATGTAAATTTTCGTGACGGGAGATGGCCAGCAATACTCCTCGTTCAGGCACATATCGGCACACTGCCGCCCCTATCGCTTTTTGAAATTCCTTATGTGCATTTTCCATTTTGGCACTGTAAACATTAAAATGATTTATAATGAAAGGCATATATCTATCAAAATTTCTTCATTTGTTTAAAGAACCATTTCAATATTTCAATACATACAACTCTCTTAGATCTTCAGGTACTTCAATTTCGATCTTGTAAAACGTATTTTTATCAATAGGGGGATTTGAATTTTTTGCCCTTAGTCGCTCACTAGCTACAATTTCAGTATAAGCGCACTCCCACCCCGAATATTCAACTACTTGAAAACCTCCTTTACTCATCTGAAACAATAATTTTAGTATTGAAATATTTGTATATAAAGTTGATAAAAATGGATTATTTAAATTTTTTATTTATTGAAATCACACTTAATAATGTCTGATACAAAATTTATGCGACAATAAATAATGTTATAAATATCAAATTTGATAAAAACGACATATCTTCATTTTGATAAATAATATCAGGAAACGTTAACAGTTATAATCTAACCTTAATGACCGCTTTCCACCATCCCCATGCTTCATGCTCATTGGACCTAGAAAATACCTCAATCTCCTGGTTCTCCTGAAATTCAGATTTTTGACCATCTTTTGGAGGTAGACGTACTTGAGCAAATGGAAATTTTGATTCTGGTTGCCAGCTAAAAAGAATGCAAAATATTTGTTATTAAATATATATAAACATGTTGCATAATATTATAAAATCTTCTATATAAAGCTACAACGCAAACATTATAATAAATTTTGTCCATTAGGTACATGTTATATATAAAACATGTGAAAAATTAGATTGAAAATATATATAAAAATATGTTTTTGTAAACAAATTTAAATATACTATGATTATAATGTTCGTTGCATTAATATTGCTATCTATAATCAAATTGTTAAATCCTCTATTGAACCTTATTTATACACTATACCATATAATTAAATATAGTATAGCATCAAAGTTATAAATAAAAAGACAAATGTTGCTTCAATATTTATTCCATATACTAAATCTTATCAATATCGTTATCTACTAAGATTTATATAAAATTTATTTTAACTAACAAAGCAACTGATAAAGCTAACAGCTTATAAAAATCAGTTGCATTAAGCTTCGAAGATGACTCATAACATTTAAAAATGTTTAAAGAATTATTTATCGTTGATACACAAAAATAAATACGAAAACTGAAAGTACTAAACAATGACACTAAATAATATGCATAACAAATGCATATTTTTCGAATTTATCGTTTCAGCTATTGAAAATATTAGTTTCCATGTAGCTGATAAAAATAGTATATTTCTAGTGCACCAGAAATTACACTGTTTTACCACAGAGCATCAAGGTACACCTCTAAATGTATCATAGTCTAAAATGATTTAGCAAGCTGAAGAAGAAACTTACTCATTTTCAAAAGTTACCAGAACCTCGTCCTCAAAGACATCGGCGACAAAGGCCTGAAAAAAACGAAACATAAAGCGTGTAAAGTCACTCGTTCAGGGATGAAAAGTGTAGCGAGTGGCGTAAGACAATCAGACATAATATCGTGATGCTTTCGAGGTACCCGCTGGAGCAATGTTTCTATAATTTCGATATCAAGTAAATACGTTTCCGCGGAACGGGAAAACGTTGAGGCGAATCGCAACATCAAAAGCTAACGAAAATCACGCCCTGTCAAACGAGACATGGCGTCGGAGGAAGCCGCGTTACCTCGCGAACATTTGAGAGCCGCGCTTTCGCGAAGTACGGACGTCTGTTTTGTGAGATTAGAACCGCGCCACGGGCCGTGAGTTGGTCTATCCACGGCCTCGATCTTCCGCCCTGTTTTTTCTATACTTTTCACAGAACGAACCTTATAATATGCTCCGTTTTCGCCGCATACTTCGACTGTGAGATCGTTCGTTGCATTAATATTGCTATCTATAATCAAATTGTTAAATCCTCTATTGAACCTTATTTATACACTATACCATATAATTAAATATAGTATAGCATCAAAGTTATAAATAAAAAGACAAATGTTGCTTCAATATTTATTCCATATACTAAATCTTATCAATATCGTTATCTACTAAGATTTATATAAAATTTATTTTAACTAACAAAGCAACTGATAAAGCTAACAGCTTATAAAAATCAGTTGCATTAAGCTTCGAAGATGACTCATAACATTTAAAAATGTTTAAAGAATTATTTATCGTTGATACACAAAAATAAATACGAAAACTGAAAGTACTAAACAATGACACTAAATAATATGCATAACAAATGCATATTTTTCGAATTTATCGTTTCAGCTATTGAAAATATTAGTTTCCATGTAGCTGATAAAAATAGTATATTTCTAGTGCACCAGAAATTACACTGTTTTACCACAGAGCATCAAGGTACACCTCTAAATGTATCATAGTCTAAAATGATTTAGCAAGCTGAAGAAGAAACTTACTCATTTTCAAAAGTTACCAGAACCTCGTCCTCAAAGACATCGGCGACAAAGGCCTGAAAAAAACGAAACATAAAGCGTGTAAAGTCACTCGTTCAGGGATGAAAAGTGTAGCGAGTGGCGTAAGACAATCAGACATAATATCGTGATGCTTTCGAGGTACCCGCTGGAGCAATGTTTCTATAATTTCGATATCAAGTAAATACGTTTCCGCGGAACGGGAAAACGTTGAGGCGAATCGCAACATCAAAAGCTAACGAAAATCACGCCCTGTCAAACGAGACATGGCGTCGGAGGAAGCCGCGTTACCTCGCGAACATTTGAGAGCCGCGCTTTCGCGAAGTACGGACGTCTGTTTTGTGAGATTAGAACCGCGCCACGGGCCGTGAGTTGGTCTATCCACGGCCTCGATCTTCCGCCCTGTTTTTTCTATACTTTTCACAGAACGAACCTTATAATATGCTCCGTTTTCGCCGCATACTTCGACTGTGAGATCCTCCATCTTGCTTTTGTGTGACGGCTCGCCTCCTTTGCAGCAGGCATGCTGGCGAGCGGGCAGCTGCACGAGTTCGAGGCTACAAATTCGTTCGAGGTTCACCAATCGCGCAACTCTTTTCCATGACGCAGCGTCTTTATTGGAGGGGCTCATACAGTGTTACCACTATCGGGACGCTAATTTACGATTGAAAGAACTAGAATAATTGAAATACGCCACCAGATACGAATCTAGGAATACACCGATAGAGAATATTCTTGAGAGTGGGAAACCTCCGCGAGACGTAGCGGCGAGGTAAGCCGATGCCCACTTTCAATTGGCCACTGTTTGGCACAACTGTATGCAATGTACACTTCCGTTTTCCTTCCCTCTAAATGTGGGAATGTTTTAGATGAAAGAGTATTGCATGATTCATCCTACTCACTTCTCCTTTGCTCGAAGTCGTGATGGACCCTTTTAATCAAGGAAGATCGCACACCGTCACCAAATTTAAAAATACAGAAATTTGGATGTTGAGGAACTCGAAAATCGAAGGTTTGGAAGTTTGAAGACTTGGAATCTTTAAGAACAGAACTTTAAATCCTCGGAAGATATCTTTATTTGCTCTTTTTTTTAAGGAATATCTCTGTTATCGTTATCGTCAGTATCAGTACAAATCTACAGTTATGTAATGATTATAAAATATATGTACAAGTTCGGACTGAAAATCGTTCAGTTGTCTTAGCTCCAAATAATGAATCGAATAACTCGTGTTTTCATGTAAAATTTGAAGTGAAAGATCGCTTGTTTTATTAGCTAGAAAATTGACGTTAAAATTGGCGGTAGAGAACATGCGCGGAGCAGCAGCCAAATCAAATACAGGCACCGACTGTTAGGATTCCCCTCCGGTGCAGGTTTCACTCTTCTTATCCATGATCCAAGCTTATACTTCTTCCCTATGTTCCTAGGTCCATGTGAAATACGCCACCAGAGTATCATTCAGCACGGAGCTTGTGCACTTGTGTAACCGCTATTACAAGTCAAATCATGACTTCGTGCCGCTTGCGATCATGTAGCCGCTTCTATCTGACCCTAGTGTTCGCGATTTTGCGAAACGCGTGACGTGCCTTGACAGTACCGATGCGGACAAGAGTATTATTACCAATTATTCAGTGCAGACGACAATGTCTGGAAGTAGCGATTCTGAAGAATTTTTCGATGCGGAGGATGATACTTTCCACCGCAATACACGGTAATTTTGCCAGTCTTCGCTCTGTCATTCGATCCTGACAAAACATTCAAATACCATTTCTCTACATGTTTTATACCCTCGACAATTATTAACATTCTTGCGTACATTCCATTAATTACTTGGGCATAGTTTTCGGATAATGATTATTACAAAATTTTATCAACGATTCTCGTACGTTCGAACTGGCGTATAGTTCATATTTTGTCTATGTATGGTAGTTTCTTTTTTAGATTATATTTTTTATGTATGGTCTTTTTGTCGTATCGTGTTCGTTGCCAATTATCTTTGGTTAGGTCCGAATTTGAGCACTTACATCAGTCATTCACGCGATCGTAGGCAGCTATTTCAGGGCCGGCGTTTGCAATTCTTTTAGGGTTCTAATTGTCAGCATAGTAGAGCAAGAATTAAAAAACAACCTCGTTGTTATATAATTAGAACGTTTTCGAACTCTTAATAAATCATTCTTTTCTATTTAAATGAATTTATATACATCCTGCACAATAAGTTTTTCATTCAAACTTTCAGTAATTTTTTACGTAGACCTAAATTTAAATTATTTAACAATTAAATAAAGTTTATTTCATCTTTCGTATTACAAAAATTGTTTCATCTTATGATAAAAATTGATTTCCTTTTAGAAAAGGTAAACAACGCGATTCCATCAGCATTGAAATACAGACTAAAGACACATCAGAAGCTTCCAAAAAATCAGATGATGATGTTTTTGTGAAACCTGCTCAACCTAAACCAATTGTAGAACCAAAGGAACATGTAACTATAGAATGTACACTTAGTAAAGATAAATCTGTGAGTATTTATGACAATGGAACTATTACTGACGACTGTAAAAGGTGTTATAAAGAATGTTTATCGTTTAAGGATGAAGATGGAAAAGAATCAAGTATGGATAAAATTGTTGGTAGAAGGAGATTTCGTGAACTCAGACAACGCATGCAAACAGAGGATGATGATATCCCGATTAATAGTTCTCCTCCGGACAGCCAAACATCGTCCATCGAGGGTGTATATCCTACTCCTTCAAAGACAACTCATCCATTTAGAATTATAGAGCATGATACTCTTAGTTTACAAAGTATGACATCTTTAGGACGAGTGGGTCGAATTTTAGCTGGAGTTGGGGACAGTGCCTCTGCTATACTTGCACCAAATGTAACTCAGTGCCCCCCTTCTGCTACCCTTACCCGTGAAAGCCAGATGTCCTCGATTGCTAGTATTCCCAGTAAAGATGAGGATACAGCATCGGGTAAGGTGTCCCAGTCCTCCAGCATCTTTACGTTATCAGGGGATATTCTTCAGGAATCCTCTGTTAACGGTAGGTCCAATTACTCTTCGCACTCACAAAATGATAAGACTGTTATCCTTCAAGAACCTGATGTCATCGCTAGTACAAAAAATAATGGCAAATCAAATGAAGATATTACTGTGGTTGGAATACCTGTTGCACCACCAAGACGTAAAAAAAAATCAAAAGCTCAAACGCCCACTGATCTTGCTGTATGATATTTATTATTTAATGTTTTCAAATTAACAAATAGTCACGAGTAAAACGAAGAAATATTCTTTTATAATTTTAGCCTAATGCCGCAGAATCAGCATTACCGACTTCGCCGTTACCAAGTCCAGCAAGTACTATTGAATCCATTACCAGAGAATTTGAACACTCCCTGGATATCCGGTCCGCAACAAAGGGACAATATGTTGTGAAACCACAAGTTCGTGTTGCAATATATTTGTATAGTTTATCGTGTTATGTACGAATATTTACTACTGTAGATTTGTAGGATGAAGATAAATCAAAAGCTGAAGGCCCATCAACTGAAGAGTTAGAAAGAATAGAAAGAATGAAAGCAGAGTTAATGAGTATGAAATCAAGCGACAAGTCCAGTAGCCCACTAGGATCCATGTCTAGCAATAGTATTGGCCGTTATTCCTTAGGTCCTCACAAATTTTCGGGCTTAAGTCCCCAAGGTTCGAAAGAAAGACGAAAATCGGCTGGTGACCAAGACATGGTCAAACAGCTGAACATGTTTGTGAGAACAAGAACAGATTCCGGAAAGCGTCTGACGGACATGGTATGATATCAACTTAAGAATATATTTTAAACGTTTACATGTTACTAATAATGACTCTTTTTAGGAAATTTTGGAACAAGTGACTGTTCTGAATTTAGATACCGGTGAGAGAGTGCCATTAAGTATAGCGGAAGATAAATTGCCACAGTGTATTAACCCCTTGTCGCTTCACATCATGAGACTCACGTCAGAATACATAAGTAATTCCAGTTTGGAGAAAGAAAAAGAAAGTGACGAGGAAAGTGTTGACAGTAAAATGTCCAGTATACCACCGGATGAAGATGTGTCCGTTGGTAGAGTTCGAAAGAAAACTCAGAAGTTAAAGCGATTCTTGGGGTCCACCGTGAAGAAGACAATGGACAAAGCAAAATCCATCGCGCAGGAGGTGTCTCACGCGAGACATAAAGAAGATGTCATGGATATAGTAGACGACGTGTATCCCGGTGAACAACAGTACATCAAACTGAAAGCGTCCAACAGTCACAAAGGCCCGTACGAGTTCAGTTGTTTGCAACACGTTCAAGATTTGAGTGGTGAGCACGTGGGTCCTGTTTGGTGCATGAAGTTTTCAGCCTGTGGGCGACTACTCGCCACGGCAGGGCAAGATCGAGTCCTAAGAATCTGGGTCTTACGAGATGCTTTCACGTATTTCCAAGACCAGCGAACCAAATACAACGCTGAGAAAGTCAGTCCAACTCCTTCCCAAGAATCTTTAGTGTCGCAGCAGTCCATGGAGGACCCCAACGTCGTGGCTAGTGCCTTTAGCGAAATAGAAGGAACGAAAAGCCCCTTTATGCCAAAGCCGTTTTGCACCTATACAGGGCACACCTCGGATCTGCTCGACGTTTCATGGTCTAAAAATTACTTCGTTCTGTCATCGTCGATGGATAAAACCGTGCGTCTTTGGCACATATCGCGAAAAGAATGTTTATGTTGTTTCCAACACATTGACTTCGTTACGGCCATAGTGTTCCATCCCCGCGATGATCGTTACTTCCTCTCCGGATCTCTGGATGGCAAACTACGCTTGTGGAACATCCCGGACAAGAAAGTGGCCGTATGGAACGAAGTCGACGGTCAAACTAAATTGATAACCGCCGCAAATTTTTGTCAGAACGGAAAGTTCGCGGTGGTCGGCTCCTACGATGGCCGGTGCATATTTTATAACACGGATCAGTTGAAGTACCACACGCAGATACACGTTCGATCAACCAGAGGGAAGAACTCCACCGGAAGAAAGATCAGCGGAATCGAACCCATGCCGGGTGAAGATAAAATCTTGGTTACTTCGAACGACAGTCGTATTCGTTTGTATGATTTACGAGATTTGAATTTGTCTTGTAAATACAAAGGTTACGTTAACGTCAGTAGTCAGATCAAAGCGAGCTTCAGCCCCGACGGGCAGTACATAGTCAGCGGCTCGGAGAATCAGTGCATTTATATTTGGAAAACTCATCACGATTATTCGAAATTCTCAAGCGTGCGTAGAGATCGAAACGATTTTTGGGAGGGTATTAAGGCTCACAACGCTGTAGTGACTTGTGCGGTGTTTGCACCAAATCCAGATAGTATTATTAAACATATTGAAGAGAGAGAGCAATGGGAAAGTAAAGAGGACGCGAAAAATTTAGGCGGTTCAACCATGGATGTTCCTCCAGTCGATCCCGTGGTTGAACAGCGCACTAAAGGCTGTGGCGGACACGTTCTTGTAAGTGCTGATTTCAATGGCTGTATAAAGGTTTTTCTAAACAAGACGAAACCTAAGCATAGTTCCCTACCAGCATCTGCTCTCGCGTAACACGATACTACACTGATTTGTGCACTATTGCTAATAATAAGAAATTAATAAGAACACCAATATATCGTATACATATATTTGTTTTATCTCAGCGAATTACGTAGGCATCACTGTACGCTATTTTTTAAGATAAACGCGGCTGTACTAAAAACTTTCTGAAAGCAGAATATTTTGAGATGCATGCCAAAAGGCTTACTTCACGATAAGCTTCAAAGATTATAGTTAGTAATATTACCCAGAAATCGAATGCTCAGATAATATTTCGGTTCTCATTTACCTAATTTTATTGTTATCATTAATTAATGATCATTGAAGGGCTATCCTGTTCATTGTAAATTATATAACATTTGCGTACTATTATTATAATTTCTACTGAAGCTTTAAATAAGTCGTATAAAGTACATAGTTTTATAAGACGTTGTATTTTTAACACTTTTTTAAATTCGACATTATATTTTTATTGATTTTTTTCCTTTCTTGTATTATATATGTATTTTCGGTGCTGGTCCACTGCGATCAATATAGTTGTACACGCAAACTTTGCCAAAATTATGTTACAAAATACACAGTGAACGTGGAATTGTTTCGATTAATTTATAAAACGGAAAGAGCACCTTGGTGAAGAAACAAAGTATAAAGGACAAGCACGATGGCCGTATAGAGTAACGATTTAATGAATTGTATCGGTAATCTTGAATTAATATACCTTGGTGATTCATCGTTAAACAAATGTTGGATAACACCTACAAAGTTTAATGAAAATCAAAGTGGATTTTCAAATCCTAATGGTTTCTAAAATACGTTCTAGAACTTTACCGTGATAAGATAGCGTAACACATCGAAGACAATATATATATTATATATATTATAAATATAAAAAGAAACGAAAAAATGTTGGTTAGTTGAATCGCATCATCGTTAAGTTTTTCTACGAACGCAGTTCACATTTTAGAAATTAATTCGAAAATTTAACGTGAAAATTCATCGTACAGTATCGTGTATGGTTCAGGAAAATGGCGGCTTAGGGGAAACTGAAATTCTCAAATTTACAAACTTACAGATTTGGAACCTTAGAAATTTATAAATTTAGCGATTTGGAACGGTAGCGTTTAGGGAATTCGATTTAGAAATTTGGGAAGTTTAGAAATTCTGAAATCTGAATTTGGAAATTTGAGAATTTATATTCGACTTCTACATTTTCTTAAGGAAACTATGCTCGATATTGTGTGTCATGATTTAACATTTGCGCTCTGTATAAAACTGTATCTTCACCCTTACCGTGTGAATTGATTTTGTCATTTAATTTTAATTAGAGCTTAAAGCTTTAACTATAATTTGCCAGTAATTTTTTGTGCAATCTGTAATTTAACTGTAAGGTAATTTAAAGAAATTCATCTCCGAAGAAATTATTTTTTAAAATGTGAATTTTGTTATTTTTTAAATTCGCAAATTGGAGATTGCACAGTAAGGGATGATCGAAGTGAGCGCAAGAACCTTGCTTCTTGACATAAACATTAAGTAGAAAATTGTTATAACGCTCACACGACTCGCTACGTTCAATGTTCGACAGGATCTGTCGTGCCTCATTTTGATCTGATTTGAAGGTGTTGTTCGAAAATACCTGTTTCGCAATGTGTCAATTATAGCGGCAGAGAGTATATGTATACCCTTGAAACGGCAACCACGCCGTTCGAAACTCTGCATTTTACGATTCTCTATGTATGTATTTGATAAATTATGTCTTGAAAGATGATGCGCTATTCGGTCGCGTGTTGAAGTCACGATGGTCGTAGACGCGACACCTTTGACGCCATTATGGTTGCACGATTACCATATTTTGTTAATATTTTAGGATTATCACAACATCCATAATTCACGGTATAATTACTGTGAATTAATATTTGCAAAATTTGGAGATCTGCAAATTTAAGAATTTGCAAATTTATGAATTTGCAGATTCCATAAAATTTAGGTCAGTGTTAATACTGAAATATTAACAATAAATATTAATCGTTCCCGTGTCGCAGAAACGATCATCAGAATATACAGAGTTGCTCATTACTCGAATGATCTCCAAAGTTAAATTTCAAATAAAAGTATTCGAAGACATAAATTTTGTTATCGTAAAAATAACAAATAATGTAGAATTTGTTACTCTTGCAATAACTAAAAAATCGAATCGTAAAAAATTGTTTATCAATATTTTTGTTTGATTTGAAATTAGCTAATTGAAGATCGTTCGGTTAATCCTCAATTCCGGCGATATACGATATATGTATTTTATTTATATCGTAAATTCAATGTAAATACGCAGAAAAGAAATGTAGGTATTTTGTGTAAATGCAATTGTAAATATATATTAATCGGGCGATAGCGTAAATCGCTTATTAACGACATTGTCATTCCGACAGCGGCGTGCACAAAACTATTGTTTGTGATCTCGTAGTAATCAGTAATCATGTAATATATTTAATGTATTAATAGTATGTTCATGTATGAAACATGTGTCTGTTTTTTATGTTGCCGTCACACAGCAATATACATAAAGTTTACATCAATCATTAGAAACGTGTCCTGTGTATTTCAAACCTTTCTGTATATACATTTACTTTATATTTGTATTTTTATTTTAAATTGTTACATTTTTAATTTTCTGTGGGGTGAGGAGCAGGTGGTTGAAATTTTGGTTAGTTCAAAATTATTTGTATTAGTTAGGAGATGTGTTTTTTATTATATTTATGGGGATGTTGGTGTAAATAACTCAATATCTCATCTTTGATCTAATCTTAGCTTGCTTATTTTTTAATACATAATCTAAACTGATACATTTCGTCATTCGAATCTATTACAGGTTAGATTAAGGTAAACTAGGTTATGTTGAGCTAAGGTTAGGTTGCAATAAATTTTCAGGTAAAGTTAAGTCAATTTAGTTAAGCTAAAGTAGGTTAGGTTGAGCCAAGGTTATGTTAGGTTGGAATAAATTTTCAGGTAAGGTTAAGCCAATTTAGTTAAGCTAAACTAGGTTAGGTTGAACTAAGGTTAAGTTAGGTTGGAATAAATGTTCAGGTAAGGGTAAATCAATACAGGTTAAATTAGACTAGGTTTTATAATTCAAATCAAACTTTATTTCAATTTTAAATACAATTTAACCTAATTTCACAAAAAGACAATTAAGCTTGAATGGTAGAACTGCACATTGCTCATTTACTACATTATTAATTTAATAATTAATAGTTCAGATAGTGGTGGAATATATGAAGAATATAAATATTTATCGACAAAATTATTAACAAGAGTTATTACATTACTCCAACAATATTTGAACAATATAAATATTTATCAACAAAATTATTAATAAGAGTTGCAAGAAATGTCCATGATTGGATCCTGATATATGACCACGCGTTATATGGCAGCAAGAGGCTGAACAATATAAATATTTATCGACAAAATTATTAACAAAAGTTACTACATTACTCCAACAATACTTGAACAATATAAATATTAGTCAACAAAATTATTAACAAGAGTTGCAAAGTAGTATCCATGGATCCTAACATATGACCACTCGTTATATGGCAGAAAGAGAGCCCTCCATCCACTTACAACCACGAGGAGAAACCGAATAATGATCGCTAATAAGATTCCATCCATTGTTGCAGACAAAAGCACGAGTACCGGCTGGTTACTCACCTATAGGTCAGCAATGTGTGTACGGTCAGTCGGTCGGTCGGTCGGTCGGTCGGTTGACTGTCGGCTGATTCACCCATTTACTGCATCCATACGTCTGGCTGCATGTATGCACATGCATTGTCTCCGGTAATTAGAATGAAAGTGCGCTACACGGATAAATAGAGACGTAAACTTTGCCGTGTAACTTTGCAGGCTTACGTTTCTCATAATAGGACCTCATTTGCGGTGTCACGAATTGAAAACCATTCACACTTTTTGAAAGAACTGGACAAAATTAGCTGCTTAACCTTTTTCAAAAGATATAGACTTTTCAAGAGATATAGCTCGACTTACAGTTTGCATTTTTTAGAAAGTTATGGATTTTGGTCTTTTTCTTTGGGGAAGTTGGTGGACTTTATTAATAATTGATTTTGTCGAAAAATAATCATTTAACTTTATTTGTAATTTGTTTTTCACTGGACTTCAGTTGTAGTCTCTTTCTTTGAAGAAATCGATGGACTTTATTTATAATTTGTTTTTGGGGAAGATAATCATTTAACTTTATTTATAATTTGTTTTTCACTGGACTTCAGTTGCAGTCTTTTTATTTGAAGACATTGATGGACTTTATTTATAATTCATTTTTTCAAAAGCAAATTATAGAACTTTATTTATAATTAATTCTTCACTGGACTTCAGTTGCAGTCTTTTTATTTGAAGACATTGATGGACTTTATTTATAATTCATTTTTTCAAACGCAAATTATAGAACTTTATTTATAATTAATTCTTCACTGGACTTCAGTTGCAGTCTTTTTATTTGAAGACATTGATAGACTTTATTTATAATTCATTTTTTCAAAAGCAAATTATAGAACTTTATTTACAATTAATTCTTCACTGGACTTCAGTTGTAGTCTCTTTCTTTGAAGACATTGATGGACTTTATTTATAATTCATTTTTTCAAAAGATAATCATTAAACTTTATTTACAATTTTTTTTTCAAAAGGCATTCATTAAATTTTATTAACAAATAGTACTTTCAAAAGATGATCATAGAACTTCATTTACAATTATTTATTAATATTTTATTTACAACTAGAACCAATCAGAAAAATTACAAACTCCATTTCAAGAGCAGAAAATCTTCAGGAATTGCAGAATCAAAAAAATGCAAAAATTCAGAAAATTATCAGCAAAAATTTTAAAATTTAATTCATATACAGAAAACCTTGAAAAGTCAGTTCAATCCTGAAGAAATCCAGAGGGTGTTCCCATATACGAATCCTCAAAACCCAGCTGACCTTCATGGACAAAAAAGACTATCAGTTTATTAGCAAGATATTCACTAATCTGAGAATTTTTAAATTTGAGAATTTAAAAATAATTTGAGTATCAGAATTACTGTAGCAATGAGTACTCAAAAGACAGCCAACCCTCAACAAGAAAGACATCCCTCCATTAGCAAGAAATTTAGTAACGAAGAAATGTGAGGATTTGGAACTTTGAGAACTCAAAAATAATTCGAGTATCAGAATTACTGTAGCAATGAGTACTCAAAAGACAGCCAACCCTCGACAAGAAAGACATCCCTTCATTAGCAAGAAATTCAGTAATAAAGAAATGTGAGGATTTGGAACTTTGAGAACTCAAAAATAATTTGAGCATCAGAATTACTGTAGCAATGAGTACTCAAAAGACAGCCAACCCTCAACAAGAAAGACATCCCTTCATTAGCAAGAAATTCAGTAATAAAGAAATGTGAGGATTTGGAACTTTGAGAACTCAAAAATAATTTGAGCATCAGAATTACTGTAGCAATGAGTACTCAAAAGACAGCCAACCCTCAACAAGAAAGACATCCCTTCATTACCAAGAAATTCAGTAACGAAGAAATATGAGGATTTGGAACTTTGAGAACTCAAAAATAATTTGAGCATCAGAATTACTGTAGCAATGAGTACTCAAAAGACAGCCAACCCTCAACAAGAAAGACATCCCTTCATTAGCAAGAAATTCAGTAATAAAGAAATGTGAGGATTTGGAACTTAAATAATTTGAGTATTACTCGAGTGTTACTCAGTTGACTATTACTCAGAAGACCTTTGTCAGAGAAGATATATTATAATGAAGAAGCCGTATGTGCGCAGTAACGAAATTGAATCGTAGTAAACGAGTAGTAGCAGGTTAAAGAGGCAAAGGACGCGTGGTGCGTCTGGCTCACGCATACACGTCGAGGGCCGTCGAGAAGGACAAGAACGACGAATAGGAGCACGACCGCGACCACGTCCACAAGAATCGTGTTCGCAGTCGTCCGGAGTGTGGCTCGAACGAGAAGAGATATCCTCCGGTTCGTGAGGGACCTATATAACTGTACCGTGTGTCTGGGTCAGGGGGCGGGCCGCCACGTTTATAGTATACTCTCTATATCGGACAGGTGTACCCCATTCCGAGTCCACGAGTTCTCGCGTGCAGCATCGAGCCGCAGCCACGCCGCGTATATTTCTAGCTGGCCGCGAAAAATCGGTGGCTGATCAACAGGAGTCCACGGGTAGCCTCCGACGACGATCGACCGAGTCGTTCGGAAGAGCGAGCGGTTTTCGAGACTACTCATCAACCTGCTTCGCGCGTTCTCGCCGGTTACGTCCTCGTTTTCGCCACTGAAATCGGTCGAGATCAACCGACTGTGCTTTACAGAGCCTCCGACCGCGCGGGTACGCGGAGATTTTGCGGCACATGGTGCTTCGATCAGTGAGGTGCGTCCATCGAATTATTCTACTGTTACGAGTTGCACGCTTCTGACGGACCCGGACCGATTCTTCAACTACCATTACCCAGACACACGTAAGACTTTTTATAAAACTTAAACCAACAAAACCCATTAACATTTTCAAATCACCCTACATTTTTGTCAAATTTGTCAGAATTTTTTTTATCATTTGCCAAAATTTTTTACGTAAACATGGCCAGACATAAAGTACTTTGACTGGAAATCTATAATAAATCTTAAAATCTCATGTAACCCTTCGTTCCTCTGAAAGTCATATTTGTTCACTTCAAGAACCACTTCAATAACCACTACATCACTACATTCACATTAAAAATTTGACCCATCCTATAAAGTATGATTTTCAAAAAATTATTTCTTATATATACAACACTAATCCTACTGCTTTCAATATTATATAAAGTTGGAAAATTATAAAATTGTTTGGAAGTCAAAAATCGGTCCTCAAGCCTCAAAAATGGGTCCTCAAGTTTGGTGACAAACTTCTGAAAATCTACCTCGAATATTTATGATTAGACTTTAAATTTGTTGTACAAGTGTCACGAGATATTTTATCGAACACATTCTGTAAATTGTTTTGAGGATTTACGACAAAGTTGATCTGATAGAAATAACACGATGCGAACTTTCGATTTGATTTATATCATCGATAGTGTCGTTTTACGAGCGTATAAGCAACCGGACACTGGGATGTATTTATCAGAGGAGGCCTTAGATTAACGGGTCATTATCTGGAGAGTGGTTATGATCCAATTATCGGTGTGTCGTTGATTGCGCTATTATTTATAGTGGAACGCCGTTTCTGTTGCTCTAACGCGGTGGTAATGACAGCGGCGTCTTGGAGGAAATTGTACACTCGGGTGCAGATCGTTAGGTCTCGCGTGTGAATTTGAAAGTTTATGTATTTGGAGGTTTTTGGACATGTTACGGTTTTTAGAATTTTTAGTATTTTTAGTATATATTCAATATAATATTTTTATATTGAATTATCAAATTTTTGGATTTTTGAATTCTGTGAATTTTTGAGTTTTGAAATTTTTCAGAATCATAGTTACAAGTTTACAGACTCTTAAATTTCTAAATTTGTATATTTTCAAAGGACTAGATTTTCAAATTTCTATGTTTTTAAATTTGTAAATCTTCAAATTTCTGTTTTCGTAAATCTCTGGATCCTTAAATTCCTATGTCTTCACATTCCTAAATTACCAACTTCTTACAGTCAAAAGTTCCTATATTCTCAAATATGTATAAATCCAAATCTCTAAATCTCCAAATTTCCATGTTTCTAAATCCCTAGATCTTTAAATTCATATATCTCTAAATCCTTAAATCCCCAAATTCATAGGTCTTCAAATTCCTAAATCCCCTAGTCCCTAGCTCCCCAAATTCATATATCTCCAAATCCCTAAATTTCCAAATTTCTATGTCCAAAAATCCATAGAACTCCAGATTTCTATAACTCCAAATCTCTATATCTCCAAATTCTCGAATTCCTAAATCCCTAGATCCCCAAATTCATATGTCTCCAAATCCTTAAAACCCCAAAATTCCATGTGTACAAATCTCTAAATCTCCAAATCCCTAAATACCCAAATTTCTGTGTCCCCAAATCCCTAGAACCCCTAATTCATATGATTCTAAATCTCTAAATCCCCAAATTCTCAAGCTTCCAAATCCCTAAATCCCCAAATTCTCAAGCTTCTAAATCTCAAAATTCCCAAATTCTCAAGTTTCCAAATCTATAAACTTCCAAATTCTCAAGCTTCCAAATCTCTAAGTCCCCAAATTCTCAAGTTTCCAAATCTATAAACTTCCAAATTCTCAAGCTTCCAAATCTCAAAATTCCCAAATTCTCAAGCTTCCAAATCTATAAACTTCCAAATTCTCAAGCTTCCAAATCTCTAAATCCCCAAATTCTCAAGTTTCCAAATCTATAAACTTCCAAATTCTCAAGCTTCCAAATCTCTAAGTCCCCAAATTCTCAAGCTTCCAAATCTCTAAATCCCCAAATTCTCAAGCTTCCAAATCTCTAAATCCCCAAATCCCTAAATCCCCAATTCCTTATGTCTCCAAATCCCTAATTTCCCAAATTTCTATATCCCCAAATCCCTAGAACCCCAAATTCCTACGATTCCAAATCCCCAAACCCCCAAAATCCTACGTCCTAAAATTCCTAAACCCCAGAATCCCACATCCCAAAGTTCCTAAACCCCCAAAATCCCTAAACCCCCAAAATCCTATATCCCCAAATGCCTACACCCCAAAAATCCCACATCCCCAAATTCTCAACCCACCATAAAATCCTCAAATCACCAAAAATCCCACAGAAGAAGAAAATATGATTTGCCGTTGACTGTACGTCGCGTGGTAGGTTATGTACCGCATTAGAGTCAACCACGTGGTTGAACGCTTTCATTCTATCGAACGCAACAGCTGTCGGCTGCTGGTATTCTAACATAGCGATGTACCACGCAAATCATCGACGTGTGCTTCATATTTCTATTTATCATAGTCCATTTTTTTTCCTCTTCAAGCACTTTTTACACTGAACTTGTCGAGATGATGTGTCCTTCTGTTGATTATACATTTAGAAATAGATTTTCTATAACAGTCTTCAAATAGGATTTCCATAACAGAACCATAAATACAATTTCTATGACCGTACTATAACTGCGAGTCTCATATTGGTATTATAAATTGCATGTCTAAAAAAAAATTCTATATAACCTACAGTAGAATCGTAACTGGAACCTTCATATGAATATCATAAATTTCTAAAAGAATTTTAAATAAAATTTCTCTTCCACAATTACAATTACAAGTTCCCGTAACACAGTTACGAGTAGCCACTTATATTTTACGCAAAATACAGTTTCGGTAATAGAATTGGTATAATAAAATGTCTGGTCATCTACATTTTTGGTGGCCAACTAGATCGTGAATGACGATAGTCATAAATTCCGACGCATAGTAAACGAGAAAAGTGGATTGGCGGCCGGTAATAACGGTACGCGATATTCATTCACAGTGTGCCATCGATTGCAGGTTATCTCCTGCGATCGATCAGCAACGCGACACCTCACAACGAAAGTGCATTGGGTTCCTATCAACTTGTCAGCTCGCTTCGTTACGCTCGATTACCATACGCTTGCCGTGTTACAGATAGAGAAATGTAGATCACTTGTGTATCGCTCGTTTCTTGCACTTAATATTAGCTGGTGCTAATTACCATATCTTTCACGGAATAAATTTCTACCGTCGTTTGGTGCGATGACAAGATATCTGCGTGCGACTTCCGTTACGTTGATGTCTATTTTTTTGATGTCTAGAGACTTTGGGCTGGGTTTAGGAGAAGGTTAGGAGGCGAGTTTGGGAGGGTAGGATTTTTAGGGGTAGATTTTGTGGATTGGGGTGGATTAGGTGGGTTAGGTGGGTTTTGTGGATTGGAAGTGGATTTTGTGGGTTAGGTAGGTTTTGAGGATTGGAAGTGGATTTTATGGGTCAGAGGTAGATTTTGTGGATTGGAAGTAGAATTTATGGATCAGAGCTGGATTTTGTGGATCAGAAGTGGATTTGATGGGTCAGAGCTAGATTTTGTGGATCAGAAGTAGACCTTGTCGATCAGGAGTGGATTTGAAGTAGATTTGATGGGTCAGGAGTAGGTTTTATGGATCAGAAATAAACCTTGTCGATGAGGAGTGGATTTGAAGTAGATTTTATAGGTCAGTGCTAGATTTTGTGGATCAGAAGTAGATTTGATGGGCCTGAGCTAGATTTTGTGGATCTGAAGTAGATCTCATGGATCAGGAGTGGATTTGAAGTAGATTTGATGCGTCAGAGCTAGATTTTGTGGATCAGAAGTAGATTTGATGGGTCAGAGCTAGATTTTGTGGATCAGAAGTAGATCTTATGGATCTGGAGTGGATTTGAAGTAGATTTGATGGGTCAGAGCTAGATTTTGTGGATCAGAAGTAAATCTTATGGATTAAGAGTGGATCAGAAGTAGATTTGATGCGTCAGAGCTACATTTTGTGGATCAGAAGTAGATTTGATGCGTCAGAGCTAGATTTTGTGGATCAGAAGTAGATCTTATGGATCAGGAGTGGATTTGAAGTAGATTTGATGGGTCAGGAGTAGGTTTTATGGATCAGAAATAAACCTTGTCGATGAGGAGTGGATTTGAAGTAGATTTTATAGGTCAGTGCTAGATTTTGTGGATCAGAAGTAAATCTTGTGGTTCAAGAGTGGATATGAAGTAGATTTGATGCGTCAGAGCTACATTTTGTGGATCAGAAGTAGATTTGATGGGTCAGAGCTAGATTTTGTGGATCAGAAGTAGATTTAATTGGTCAGGAGTAAATTTTATAGATCAGAAGTAGATCTTGTGAACCAGGAGTGAATTATAAGCAATTGATATGGATTGGAACATGTGCAATTGAATTAGGTAGATCAGATCATGTCATTTGGATCAGAGGTAGATGTCACTGATTTACATTGCCATCTAGGTGCCATAGATTTGATTTTATGGAGTTGAACTAAGTGTTGCAGATCAGAATTAGGTCACATCAGAAGTAGATGTTATGCCTCACACCTCATAAAGTCGAATCAGCTTGTAAAGTAGAATTATCTTGAATCACTTGTAGCCCAGAATTAGGTCATATCTCACAAGTAGATGTACGTCAGTCTATATAACTACTGGTCATATGGATTAGAAGTGCTACAGAATTAGGTCATAGTCAAGATGACCTAAGACATATTAGGCCACTAGACATTATATTAGGTCCACCAGGTCTTAACTACACAAATTTCCAAATATTCAAACTCAACAAAAAATTAATTTAATATCTCCATATCTTCAAAATCTGAAATCCTACAGCAACCTTGAACATTTGCACCCACAAAGTCCATGAATTAAAAAATTCAAGAGACACCAAACCAACCAGACACCTCCGTACTTGCTCCCATCTCGTGAAGTAGCCTTCAATCCTTTGTTCTCACGACTTATTTTGGCAGTTCGCAAAAGAACTATTCACCGATCGAATCCCCGTTACGCATT